AATTACTGTACTTAAGTAAGTATAAGAAGAAAAAAACAGGGAATGTTCAGCAGCAGATCTTACGAAAAATATTTAGTCTCTCACTCAGCCAATTTTAATACATTAACTTTCGTTTCTACATAATTTAATCTAATCAAATGTAACAAAAGGAAACTCCTAAGTTACTAAGAAATTAATAAGAAGATTACATTTTACGAGTACATTCTGCAAAACTGATTCACGATCAAAATCCATTTAACACCCACATAGTTGTTATATTTTAAACCCTGTCCTCTTGAAGTAAGGCTGAAATTCAATTTAAAAATATTTAATATCAATAAAATCCAACGGGAGTGGAATTTAACGCCTTATTTTCCATCGCTAATGGACTCGGTCATCTAATATTTAAAACTCTTGGTCGCCGTTAATTCGACTCTACGTTAATTATGAAGATCCAATTTGTGGAATACAATATAAATAAATAATGTACAGCCCATCAGGGTAAACATTTTTGTTACAAAATTACAACTTATACAAAAGATACCACAGTATTTAGTTGACTTGTCATCGTGTTATAGATCCAACTGATAGATTGACCAAATTAAAACCGATTTAAAAGTGTTAATATAATCCTATCTACTTAAACCATCTTGCTAGTTTTCATCTTGAAATTTTTGTGAATGATATTATTTCAGGTGTTTGAAGACAAGTAAATTCTCAAGTAATTTAAAATACTTTTTAAACAAAAAACGCAGCGACATCACCCAAAACCGTTTCCCAGCTAATGGATAAGGTTATTAAACATTCAAAACTCTAAGCTGCTATTAGTTCGTTACTTATTAAAAGCCGATGGGGTAGTTCCAAACTTTGTTCGGGACTATTCCGCAGATTCGACTTAGGGTCCTTTGAGTTGGGAATACTTAACTCTGTCGTAGTCAGATGCTGTTAAAATATGAAGAGATGGGATTTCGGAAGGGCGTTAGAGTTTAATTTAATGTTTGATGGTTGTGTGAACTGGATGGTCTCGGATTCGAATCCGATTGGGAGCAAACGGACATTACCGTGCCAGTAGGATCTGAACCTGACATCTGCCTGTATGATCTAGGCCCTAGGAGGAATTTTGGTTATGTGACCGGTGTCTCTTTATGTACGTTTTATTAAGCAAGTTCCGCAAAAATATTAAGAAGTGTAGTTTCGTCAGCATCCCAAAGATTAAGAACAGTCCTGTCATTACAAAAACGCTACATTTCCATCGTCCCAACATAGAGAGCTCTATTATTGTATCATTACATTCCCCCAAATTCTCCCAGGAAACAATCGAAAAGCGCTGTCTCAAACAATGCTTCCAATCAACAAATATTTTCTCCAATTCCGCCCCCCAGCTGCCACTTCCATCAAGTGTGGCGTTCCGAATCAATCGAGGGCGAAAAAACGCCGATAATATAATGGAAATTGAATTATCACCGAGATGAGCACCGAACGGGGAAGAAAGACGAACGTTTGTCAGGGCTGGCAGGTTACAAATGCGATGTAAAAATAAAAGTAGAGAAGGAGCGGAAAATTATGGTGGGTTACTTTTGACGGACGCCATTTTAGATTGTGTCGAGGTTATGATTGGGGCTTCATGTGCAGTTAGTTTTTCCTTTCGAAGTCAATAAAGTAGCTACTGAATTATGAGCAATAGTGCAATTACTACATATGTACCGCTAATGCTACTTTGTACTTGCTATAAAGACGTTCTTAATCTCTTTCCTCTTAACTTTATTGGATAAACTATTGTTCCATTATACATAGCATGACTGTATTATATTATTCGGTATTTTAAAACAAGAGCATGCTAATAAAAATCTCTCCGAATAACTGTCATAATTTCATGAATCAACTTGTACCCAAATACAAAACCTACCAACATAATTTGATATTCTGTGCGGCACCGAATATTCTTGATTTCATATCACGCAAACGGTGAGCGGACGACAAAAACATTCGCAAAAAAGAAACAAAACACGTCAGTTTCAAGTTCAGCCGCGTCAAGCTGACAAAATAACAAAATAAGTGGCTGGGACGTTAATCTTTTTTCCATGTACCGTGGCAGCCCTAAATGACAGCGCGAAGAGTCAGTAATTCGATTGTGTTCCGTAACAACTGGAGATGTGGTATCGAGTGGGCTGTCTCACAGTGCGGGTAGTTATAGAAGAACCACCGATTGGTAAGAAGATGACTATTAAGTAAAATAACTGAAAATCAGCACTCAAATAAATACGTGAGAATTCATTTCTACAATTGAATTTTTATGATTGAGGGACAAGCAAACTAAAAAATTGAGAGACCACACATGACGCGACCAGTTTGAAACCAGTTTGAAATGGTCGCGTCATGTGTGGTCTCTCAACGGAATCTATGGCAGAAACTTAGATGCAACTCAAAAGTAACTAGAAGTTACAGTTTCGTTGCAATTGCGTTTCACCGTGTGTTCTGGGCCTAAGTTTTTGCTGACGATAGCAAACCGGTAGAAAAAAAAACCTGTAGCAAAAATAAGTTTCCCAAGTTTTGATCATACAAAATACTATTTTTTGTTTACATTTTGTGCATCATAAGCCTTTGAATGACATGAATTGCGAACGAAGAACCTATAAGTATGTCTTTTGCTGCCAAGGGGTCGGAATGGCCGACTCGAGATCCGAGGAACGCGGGTTCGAATCCCACCGTCGCTCGACTATTGTGGTGAGCCCACTCATAACACAAGCTTATTTAACGAGGGGCTATCGGGACTATTAGTAATTTGGACAATACAAATTGCTTCTATCTTTAAAAAAGTATGCGGTAGCACTGACTGTACCTCACATTGCGGTTATTTGTCTCCTTCACTCAGGCTCGTCTCCTTGAGATAGTAATGCAATAATGCAACTACCACGGACACCGATCGCGCAACAGGTGAACGCCTTATGTTAATTTGCACAAACAATTTGACGTGACACAATGTGATTTTAGTATTAGAATTAATTAGATAAGATCGGATCTGTCTTGACGTGCCTACAGTTGACAGCAGATCTGGCTGTGTAAGTAAGTTTTTGTCGCAAAATAGCATCTATTACAAGTGGATAAGACGCTTTATGGTAGAGCATGATGATCGGCCGTACCTACCGTCGTAATGACATTCTCGTCTAAAGCCCGGTCTCCGAGCACGTAGAATTTTGTCCAATGACCCCAAGCTATCCATCTTTATCGCTCGCGCGTAATTATGTTGCTGTCGCGCTCGCACACTCACTGCGGGCGCCCGTCACACAGTCGCGACAGCAATATAATTACGCGCGAGCGATAAGGATGGATAGCTTGGGGTCATTGGACGAAATTCTACGTGCTCGGCGACCAGACTATAGATGTTATTATAATTTTAAAAATGAATCACTTACAGCACCATATGTGTTTTTTGAGGATAACCTTCCTGCGAACGAACGAACGAACGAACGAATCGCTTACAGCACCATATGTGTTTTTTGAGGATAACCTTCCCTTATATGACAAAATAAAGCAAACGGTGAAAAGTTACATAACACAACAAATAAATAGATGAAGCACTTCAGCTAAATAAATATTTCCATAATAGTATTTTGCTTTCATTAATTCCGCCGCAAAACATCTTTTAAAGCAAATAAAATTACAATCAAGTTTTATGTTCCCAGTGCAATCAGTTCCAGATAGAATTCAAGTTGTTTTTCTAATTGTTTGCGAAGTCCACCCTTTCCTTTGCTCGTTGCATTATTAGCCTCTAGAAGAAGGATAGCGCCTCAGGGAAATAAGTGCACAACTGCACTTCACGAGTGCCCAGGAGAGAGCGAATGGCATATATCCTGATAAAAATTACTTTCGACATTGTCTTGGGAAACCGATACGAAACTACGAAAGAAGTAACACAATTCACGTCTTTTTTTGTAAATAGCTCCCAGGGGGGCGTTTTGTTTTTTGGATAAAAAAGGCAAAGAAAAACGGTTTTGGTAGTGAATTTGTGTGCTTTTAAGCATTTTAAGGTCTTTTTATTTCAAAGTAGGTAAAATGGTGGAAAAAGTAAGATTCCCTAAAATACAAGCGTATAAATCAGTGTTTCCTCAATATTTTTTCTCAGTCATTACAATAAGTAATTGACTGGAATATCTACAAAATTGATCAAATAAATTCGTAGTCATTAGTAGCTTATTTCGTAGTCGTTCGTAGCAAAGTACGTAGCAGCGAGATTTCATCGTAACGCATGCCATATCCGTAGCAACAATGTAATAAAGTGAAACTACGCGTTGGCGAAACTTATTTTTATAGAATGTTCAATACTAATATTTTAAAATTGTAAATTTAAACTGCTACTTTAACAATGTATTTAGAATTTGCGGGCTTGGTAAGATAAATACGTTTTAACGTTTCGTCTTAGCCCTTTTCGTAAGAAATTTTGTACATATCAAGAGATTTTTTTACAGACAAAATCAACTGTTGGTTTAGAGTAGACGCATATGTATCGGAAAGTAATAAATAACTTAAACGTTTCAAAGTTTATTCTTAGCCATTTTCGTAATGAATATTGAAAATTTTAATTAACTGTCGGTTTAGAGTAGAAGCAGAACAACTTCCTATCAAAGAGAAAAATTGTATGAAAAACATGTGTGCTTACTTAGTTTACGTTAGATGGGCTTGCTAGCGAGTACGTCAAAAAATCTGCGAAGATTTTAGTTCTTGAAAGTAGCCGCTAGGGGCGCTGTATAATCTGTCATACATTTAATGTAATTTTTTTACGTACTCGCTAGCGAGGACACCTAACGTAAGCTCATGGTAAGCACACTGATCATGGTCATACCCGTATCCACAAACAATGCTTGCTTAAGTGAAGCAGCAAATCGAACGCACAGCATTGAATAGAGCTCTGTGATTGGTTCGTGTGTGACCTTATGCGTCCACGCGCACTGTGAGACCTCATAGTAATGTTTGTGAATACGGGCGATTGTGTTCGTGTAATGTAAACATATAAACGCACTTACCCCACTCAACGTTTTGATATTGTGCAAAGCGTCTTGCGCTTTCAGAGCCGCTTTCCGCGTGAAAAACGTCACAAAACAGCATCCTGCAACAGAAGCGCACACGTACATAACACACACAGACATAAACGGGCTGGAGAGGGGTAGAAATGGCGTTGTTATATAATTTATTCTTTATTGTCAATCACTACATACTTTAAAACAAAGTCCGTTGCCGAGTCTGTTCGCTATAATTTATTTATTTTTATTTTATTTGTTTAACAAACTCAAAAACGACAACCTATTTTTATTTATTCAAGGTGATTTATGAGGACGGCTTAGAGATATTTCTGTAACAACACTAGATTCACGAGGGCGAAGCCACGAGCAAAATCTAGTATAGATATAAATTGGCCCATGTGTTCTTTTTCTATTTATTAGTTACTAGCTTTTGCAAGCGGCTTCATCCGTGTCAATTTCAGCCTGTTGCAGAATGAACTTATAGCGGGCGTAAATAGCTTAAAATCTGCCATACTTCATCAAAATCGGTTTAGGAGTTTAAGAGTGAAAAAATTACAGACAGACAGTAATAATGATCAAATTTACAAGGAAATATTATTTCTTATGTTTGACCAAGAGATGCAATCTTAAATATTATTTTCTTCTTTTAAAAGAGGAAATTTCAATATCTTCGGGGGTTCCAATATAAAAACGCCATTTTAACAGTCTACAACAATTCTCATAAGAAACAGTTTCAATACAGAACTTCTAACAATAGGAATCTCACGGACAGGACAAGAAACTGAGTACAATCTTTAGCGGTCTCTGATACTAACAATAAAAGCATTACAATCACGCATATTTCAGGTTAACTAGGTATATTAAAATTGAACGCTGACAAACAAAACTAATAACAGATGATATTTATTAGTTAACAAAAATATTACATGCGGTTTCATATTTTATTTATCAACGTTCAATTTAAAATTCTATGGCAATCCTGTATTTCAGTTGACAAATACAAGTCATTGGTTAGTATATTTATGACGAAATTTTGGTTACATTTTTAAATTAGTATAAAAAATTATGTAAGTCTTTTAAAATTCAAGTCACAAAGTTTCATAATTATTATTTTTAATTTTACTTCTCTCAACTATGTAGTAACGCATAAAAAATCAAAACACATAGATAATATCGAATCGTTTTAAACTTGTGGATTATTACGTAGTTTTGTGTTAACTAATTAAAGTTATGTTTATTATTCTTGAACCTAAGGACAGCTGCAATTTGAAGGCGCAATCTTAGATATTATAAATTTGGGGTCCATAACTTTAACCCATGAAATGCTATGAAGTTATTACAAACGCGTCATAATTACAAAGTTGGCAAGTCTACAGCGAGCCCGTTCCCGTCTCAAGTCACGCGAGTTTAGTTAACCGGCGAGTTAACTACTTGCTAACAAACAGTGTAGCTCGGCCTGATTCTGATTGAGTAGACGTTAAGAGCGTTTACGTCTCGCGTGGCATGTCAAGTTTAGGTAATTTCGATGCTAGTTTTATTCACACTAAAATAATTATGACTGTGTGCGTGTTCTCACGCTCTATAGTCAAACCAAAATACTTTGATCCACCATCGTAAAAGTGTGCCAGGCTGTCAAGTGACAGCTCAAGGAAACTGTAAAATCTTCAAATCTTCCAACACCGACTCCATAATTATAAATAATGGTATACANATTTGCAATACTTACATGTGGTAAATGACTTCATTGTCCTTGTAGTTCTTCGTTTCACTCATGTTATTGCAAGTTACGACGCATTATCCAACAATATCGGTGAACATTTCCTCAGTACGACTGAATCGCGACTAACCTGGCGTCGCGGGCGATGTTCGTTTCTGGGCATATCGCGGAGACACGCGCCACGCCCCCGTTTCACATCTATTCCCTTCTATGATCTGAGCATACAACATACATACAGGGTGGAAACGATAAGTGATCTCACTTGATTATTTCTAAACTATACAAGATATCGAAAAACTGGTTACTGATCCTGAAAGTGCTTCACGAGCTCTTTCAAACGGTACCAATAATAGGTTACAGAATAAACTGGAACTATCCGAAAATTCAATGTTTACAGCTTCCATACATTTGGTAAAGTTACATAATATTAAAAACTACACAAGATATCGCAAAACTAGTTACTGATCCAAAAAGTGCTTCACGAGCTCTATCCAACGGTATCAACAATAGCTTGCAGAATAAATTGGATCTATCCAAAAATTTAACGTTTCCATCTTACATACATTTAGTACTATCACAGTCATGGGCAGTCATGGCACTCATCTCTTGATAATATTATAGCAAGTAAAGCCTAAAACTAATGTTTTCCACCAATAATTTTAAATAAGATGCAAGTTACGAGTTTATTTAACCGACTTTTTAAGTTTATTATTTAACAAAAAATAAATTACACTTCTAATATTATGTGGTTGGCCATACATTTAGTATAGAAGCTGGAAACATTGAATTTTCGGATAGTTCCAGTTTATTCTGTAACCTATTACTGGTACCGTTTGAAAGAGCTCGTGAAGCACTTTCAGGATCAGTAATCAGTTTTTCAATATCTTGTATAGTTTAGAAATAATCGCGTGAGATCACTTATCGTTTCCACCCTGTATACGAATACATACTACACATCTATAATACGTCGTCTAACTTTAGGACACAAATTCTCATCAAGCTCGGTTCAAAAAATTACATCTGTTGCATCCAAGTCGCCGCGATGCTCGCATCAATCAACTTGCAGCCTTAAAAGTGTCAAAACATGATTACGTTTTAATAAATCTTTTTTTTTTTTATTTATTTAAGGCATCAAACAGTCATGTATAGTTACAAGTTTTACATAAATATTAAGTTTTTACAATATACCAAACAGTGCCTGTAATTGTACATTATTGTTAAAAATAAATAGTTCAACAGACGCGTATCAGTTTGCTAAACAAATAAAAATACAGAAAGAAACAAGAGAACAGAAGAATAAAACAACATTAATATAAATGGGGTGAATTTAAGCAGGTACCCACATTTACCAATGAAACACAAATCCTTAATTATGTATTAAATACAAGTTCAAAATATACATTATGTTTCCAAAACAAAAGTATAATCTACATCTATCATGTAACTTTAGAAGTCAATTGAGTATGGTTCAAAAATACATCTGTTGCATCCAAGTAGCCGGGATGCTCGCATAAATCAACTTGCAGCCTTAAAAGCGTCACCCAATTAAACTGTTGACAGGAGATAAGGCGAAGTTAACTCGTAGTAAACAGAGATTTATCCGCAGTTTGCGGACAGTTGCCAACTTTTTATTTAACGTCGCGTCGCGGAGTTGGCTTTGTAAATGTTGATGGTTTTTCCCGACGGTTAACAGGTCCGTGTTCTTTTTATTTGGTTATTAATTCGCGGACAACTTTGAAGGCGGACAAATTGCGNCAAACAGTGTAGCTCGGCCTGATTCTGATTGAGTAGACGTTAATGGAAACACAATCTGTGTCTTAATCGTGATTGGAATTTATTGTGGAAAAGTACTGCGGCCTAATTCACGTATTTTGACAGTCAAGATCTCGCTGACGTTCAGAAGTCGTCCCATTGAAAAGCAGTTCTAAATCCGTATTCACAAGGGTCATTTTCGATAGAACTATAAGGCCCAGAATAGACGGTGAAACGCAACTGCAACGAAACTGCAACTTTCTGATGATTCTGATGAATGAAACTGAAACTGAAAGTTTCAAACTGGTCACGTCATGTGTGGTCTCTCAACGGACGCTATGGCAGAAACTTAGATGCAACTCAAAAGTAACTAGCAGTTGCAGTTTCGTTGCAGTTGCTTTTCACCGTCTGTTCTGGGCCTTACTCGATAGGATCGTAACTCAGAGATTTCTTGTCATTGACGTTTTGTTACGTCGTCCCATTGAAAAACAGTTCTAAATCCGTATTCACAAGGGTCATTTTGATAAAACGATTACTCGATAGGATCGCAACTTAGTGTTTTTTGTGTTTCGTGAATAAGGCTGCTATAGGTTAACTCAGTCAGTACCTGAGGTATGGAAGCGGCACGGGAGGGGTGACATTATTATGACGTCACAGAACATATAAATCAAGGAGATTGAGTCCCGCTGACGTTTGACGTTAAAAATCCTTCCTTGCCGCTCTCATACCTCAGGCATTGACTGAGTTAGGCGCTAGAGTTATATACTCAACATCAAATAAACCGCACCTTCCGCGACTCGAACTTTAAAGATTTTCTTCTGACATAATCATGGTGCCCCAACAATATTGGTGTTATTTGAAAGCCCAATAAATATCCTTAAAGAAAAACACATTTAATTTCTTAATAAATTATTAACATATACCATAAATGTGACTTGAAAAAAGACCTCACTTTGGGCTCATCTCTGGGATCAATTAGACCAAATTTTATGATTATAAAACCAAGTAATGATCACACGTGTCCTCTTTAACAGATGGATAGCGATTAATCCCAACTTAACAGTTTTGTAGCCATAAAAATTGGCTCAAGCGTAACTGCCTATTTTTTGAAGAAGTGACTGTGGATCCTTCTAAAGATACATTTTTGGGGTAAAAACCTTTCCTTTAATGAAATGAAGCTTAGAACTAGGCTTTTAAATGGTGCCAATATTGGTGGTAAGTGGGGATGCATACGTTTGAAAGTGCTGGTCGCAGGAGGTGCGATTTATTTGATTCACTCTTGTGGCGGAGTTTTGGGCTGACACTGTGTAGGTTTGTTGTCGACACGAAAAGAAGAAGAAGATTTATTAGATGTCGAGTGTAGTTTCACGTACAATCTGTGACATTACGTGGATGCTCAAACTTTTAATTTGCACACTTTTAGTCCTGAGTTAAGATAATTATTCGTCGAATCATCAGCATAATTAAGTTAAAAATATCATAAAAACTTTCAATGTCATTTTCACCATTTCCCTGGAGCATTATTTTCCTTTATCACAAATTGAGTTACCTACATTAATGTAGGTAATTAACGCGAAATTGTAATCAACCGACACGCCACGATACGGAAGTTAAATTTAATCAATTTTCGTACACATGACTCTGCAAACTACGAAAAGGGTGACACAGCTTGCAAATATACATACATTTTATATGTACCTAGTCAATAGTACAGTATATTTCGTTATTATTTTAGCTATCATTTGGGTACGACCGTTAAAAATGTGAAGTTTTTGGAACAAATAATAAATTCAATATTCTGACCTTCGATTCTGAATTCAGCTAATAAGGTAACATTTAATTAGTTATTTTCGACAATCAATGATAAAAACTACATAAATTAAACCACCTAAGTATTATAACATACTAATATTGACAGTCTTAAATTTTGCGAAAGAACACAACGCGCACATGTATACTATACACTGGACCCTGAATGCGAAACACATACAAAAGAGTTCTTTCAGTAGCGCAACAAAAGGGGCATTTTCATACAAAAGACGTAAAACAAAACAAACAAACAAAAATGTCAACACGAAACGTAGGTACGGACGTTTGCGCAGATTTAAGGGGCATAGCAGACATGCCACATGTTCAAATTTTAATCATAACGGGGGAGTTATAGACCTGCATCTCACCTGATTGAAAACAATGATCTGACCTGGGTGGAAGCGAGCCTCACCCGAAATCCTCAACCATAGAGGATTTTCATTTTTCAGTAGATATTACAAGTAAGTAAGAACTCTTATTTGAAACATTTCAGTTTTTTTAAGACATTAATAATAATTATGTCGCTCGTACTTATGGGATACGTGAACTGAATGGAAAATTACCTCGATTGGTAGAATGTAATTATTTTATAAAGAAGTTTTGTCTCCGAGTTATTCAAATTTAAGTATTAAAAAGTTATTTTAAGTTGCTCATTATTACTACTAAATATCTGGTTGCATGTCTGCTACGTCCCTAAAACAAGCAGTGTTGTTTAAACGTACGAGGATCTTGGACAAACATTGTAGTGTGCACAATATGGGATTTTGTCGTGTACCTACTCGTGGACCTGTCGCCATTATACGTTGACATTTTGAGAACAATTGCTTCAAAAGTCTTTCATAAGGCCAAAAGCAACACCCAAAACGTTGTGTATTGTTCTGTTGTGTCTACCCTGTTAATTAGTAGACACTCTAGGCTCTAGTACTAAATAATTCCAACTTATAATTAAAATTTACATCAATTGAAATTGTTCAGAAGGCAAATCCGATTAATTAAGTGTCGATAAGGCGAAGCTACTTTTCTTTTACTAAAATCATGATTGACACCATTTTAAAGTCATTATTATTGTTCAATATTTTACTAATATTTCTATTACGTCTCGTCTACGGGTATTTTTGTAATATGTACTTAGAGATTCGATAGGGACTTGAAACTATAAAACTCCTTAATTTATGATGTGTCAAAGTTTTTACCTATTAATCATTATACCTAATGGTTTTTATTTTGAAATCAATTAGGATAATTATTTAGGTTTTTATAATAAATGTATTATCGTCTTCCCCTTAAAGCCTTCGCGTCAAAATTATAATACTTCATCCTCAAACCGTCACAGCGTCGAATTTAATTACTAAAATTATTCCTTCCCAAATCCCAAAGTTGGAAACTTGATACCGAGGCGGTCCCAACAAAAACTGTGACTTAGTTCCTTGCGACATTGTTAAAATACAAAATTAATTTCCTAAGTGTCGCGAGTCCCTTTCAACTTCGGGATGGCTTCATCAATATTAATAAACGATTCTGTCACAAAACATTTTCTCTTCAAATTTTATAGGTAGTCCATTCTGTTCTAATGTAGTTTGAGAGGAAATTGAACACTGGCTTTGACTTCTGCTGTTTCTTCAGGATGATATTTCATCTTTGGATTAAACTTGTAGTGAATTTTGAGAAGTATTTTTATTATACAAAAAGGATGATTTTTCTTTTACTCAGTAATACGTTGACCTAAGTATGAAGGAACGTATCGATAGAAAATCTTCTGCTAAACGTAGGTAAGCCTTGGCNACCTTTGCGCTAAACAAAATTGTTTCTAAAGAACACATTTACACGTTCTGGAAAAAACATTGTTAATTCGCGATATATCATTGTTAACCTTCACAAAGCATTACAAAACCCTCAGTGACCCAAGTTCACAGCGACAAAGTGGAACAAAAGGGTGTACATTAGATTAACATTCTTGTGGCAAAATCGTTCTTGTCAAAACGACATAAGATGCTACTGTTTAGTTGATGTACAGTCAGTATAATTTTGAACTAAATCGAATGTTTAATATTGTTAACTTATACGCCGTACATAGCCACAACACGACGTCGTGAGTTTTGGCAAACAGTCGATAACTCGTCAGTCTTTTTGCTACAATCCACTATACGGCTCCTTGATATACATACCTATGTAATATGATAATTTTCAGGAACATAAGTCATATCACCAGCACCTATTTACCCATTATTCGTGTGCATTAAGAACATGAAGAGATAAGTCTCTTAATAGTGGCGCCTCTATCGATTTTCTACGAGAATTTTCAGTATAATAATTCACGTGTGCCTATTATCATAAGTTGCGCTTTTACATTTACAAGTAGTTTGTGCGACTATCGTGCTACTGCAGCGCTTCTTTATGCCCCTCATTTGTGAGCGTCATAACTTATGTCAGAGTAGGTAAATACAAATGAGTAGGTTATCTTCATAGAAACGCACCGAGCGCGGTTTGTATGTGAGCGCGCCAATACGTATGCGGCGCGCACGCACACACTGACAAAATTTAGCGTGGATTAGCGGGGAGCCAGTCGTGGTTGCGCCGCATTTACGTATTGGCGCGCTCACATACAAACCGCGCTCGGTGCGTTTCTATGAAGATGACCTACTCATTTGTATTTACTCTGGTCTTAGCTTATATTCATCTTTAGTATTAAAGAATTGCAAACCTTTGCTGGCGCCAGTGATCTTGTCCCGCAGCACGTTGATCTGGTGCACGCGGCCGAATTCCTCGAACATGATCCGGAGGTCGTTCTCGTCCATGCTGCGAGGCACCTGGCCGACGAACATCTGGAACGGTAGAAATTGAGGCTTTAGAATGTATACAGAGAAAGCAAGATATGTTTGTTATTATTTTGGACCTTTGGAAAAGAAATTAGGCCGCTTTCACATTGGGGCGTGAGAAGCGCGACCGCAGTCATAAAAACCGCTGTCATTAAAGTATGAAAATTATCGGCGGCGCGACTGTCGCGCGTTTGTCGCGCTGCTAAAGTCGCCTAAATGTGAAAGCGCTCTTAAAGTATAANGGGTAGGCGCACACCGTTGATTTTTAGTTGGCCGATAGTTGTGCCCGATTTTAAATTGTATGAAGAATCGGCCAAATCGAATCGGCGTAGTGTGCGCACTCCCATACATGCCCATACTGATCAACTGCCCGACTAAACTATCGGCCGACGAAAAATCAACGGTGTGCGCCTACTCTTAAAGTATAATATCAAGTCACGATAGCCGAACCGTGAAGGGGTCAGACTATCCGACTCGACATCCGAGGAACGCGGGTTCGAATCCCAACGCCGCTTGACTATTGTGGTGAACTCATTCGTTACACAAGCATATTTAGCTTGACTATTCGTAATTTATGCGATACAATTATGTGGGCGGCAGGTTAAGATCATTATGCTCACTAAAATTATTTATCTTAGAACCTTCGGTACGAATATTCGTACTTGTACGTCATTACAAAAACAATTTTAAGTAAGTATTTGAAACCCTAGTATTTTCAAGTAACTCCATTACTTCTTCCATTTACAAAAGTATCACGTTTAACAAGTATAATGTTTGATTGTGAACGGTAATTATAAAAGCAACATCTGATTTTAATACAGAAACAAAGGAAGGGTTGGAAAATGCTCAGTTGAAAACAGCGACAATATACCATTACATTTCCTTAATGAAAGCAAAATAACGATTGCAAAATAATTATTTTCTGTATAATATATTCCCGTATTCGAAGTTGGTTCAAAAATGCAGAGCAAATTAAAAGCAATAATGAAACTGTATTGACTGCACAGTCCAGTGAAAACAGACAGCTCATTTGTTATTGGGTAGAATTTTTTAAATAAATTAAGCGTCATGTCATGTAAGCGCTCATACCTTCTATAAGATACGCTGTTTTGCTTATAGTTGTAGCTTGTTATAGACTAGGTTTTGTTAGCATGAAAACCGTTATTTCATGAAGCGTTCAAAACTACAATAACACCCTCTGTTTTGCTGTGAGGCTGTACAATTTTGAAATAACTTTTTGCTTGTCAAATTACATTGGAATGCGACCATTACACAAAGGTCACATTAAAAATGGACACAGAAAGACATTTGTTCATTAGCTCAAAGAAATTTTTATAACTTTGGCTAGATTTGAAGTGAGCCTTTGCAAGAACTGGATTAACGCACTGAACTCCAAGTGTTCGCATAAAACCGCGTAACAATGATTTCTATTGTCTCGATTCGAGGAGCTTGACGGGCTAAGGACCAAAACAAAATACAAAAAAAAAACAAAAAAATGAAATTGCTTGCATGTGACTTTTGTCTATCATGAAGCCTGAACAAAGTGAACTGGCCGTTCTCTCTGCACAATGGCCTTATTGACGGCGCATCACCCCCGGCGTTTGTCGCGTTTTACCTTTTTAATTACCGTGCTTTATTTCACTGACGCGAAGGTAATTAATTGAGGCAGTAATGAACAGTCCCCACCACATATATTTTGGTCACAGTATAATTTATGACCGATTTACGAGTGAATCTTCAATATTGGCCGATAGTCATTTATCAAATTTCTGTTTATTTTTTATTATTTTGGGTTTTACCCATTAAACTATCATTCTACGGGTATGTATCGTAAAAATCGTATCGAGTTATATTGGAAATATTTATTTCATTTAAATTTTTGTGTTCAAAATATAAAAAAAAAACGTAAGAAAACGCAAGCAAAGCGCGTAGGTATAGTGGTTTAAACGTAAGTTCAGATCACCCGTCAATCGTGTAGGTAGGTACAGTCAGCTAATAATTCGTGACATTCAACGTGACCAAAAATTTACACAACACAACCTTATTCCAATAGGCTAGATGACAAAATTTCAATTATTTGTCCGTCAGACAGATAATTAGAAAATATTAGACGCATATTATTTATTTTCTTTTATAATTAAATAATAACAGTGCTACATCTAGTTGAAATGGCGCGTTACGTCACGCTTGAGTAGAATTTTTACTCAAAAGTGACGTCACGACGCGACATTTCAACCCAATATAATACTGTAATTATTCGATGATGAAAAAACATCAAAAATAATATGTGCCCATTTTTTTATTATCTGTCTGACGGACTAAATAGAATTTCGATTTCATTACCCAGTCATCATCCCTATTGTAACAAAGACTTTTTGCAAACTTTTTGGCTACTTTGAATAACGCTATTTGACGCTTGCTGTTAACATTAATTAAATATTTTTGTGTTAATTACCTTGATATAGTCTGGGTCGGGCAGGTCGGGCTTCTCCTCATTGTTGTTGTTGTTATTGTTGTTGTTGTTTATGCTCGTGTTGTTGTTGTTGTTATTGATGTTCATGCTCATCCCACTGTAACAATAACGAAAAAAATGTTGCTCAGTAAGGAATATTTTACTTTCAATCAACATTGACAGATAGCATAGGATTGTTTTTTTTTATGCATAACAAGGCAGGTATTTGACCACAATCGCATCGGATGTAATTTATTTAAAAATCTCGCTAGAGAATGCTGTATTCAATAATATGCCTAAGGCCCGGTTTTTTGATTCGTAGTTAAATTAACCAATAGTCAAATTTGACAGATGTCAAATGACAAGTGGACCCATTTATGCAAACAGGAACCAACCCACACTTTGAGTGAAATTGAGTTAAGTACATAGATGGCGCTCAAATAACGCATTCTATCTTCAAAAAAATTATGGTACATTTTTAACGACTAACAACAGAGATACAGCACTGTCACTTGCGGAACCAACCCGCTTTGGCCAACTTTTAAAAACTATAAAGAACTATACAGCATGGTCCCTAAGCACTTATTTAAACTAATTATGCAAACTAGAACCAATGTTGGTTGGTTCCATTTAGCAAAAATTGTTACAAAANGGGTTCCTGATTCCAATTCACTATATAATAAAAGGCATTAAAATCTATATTTTTTATAGAATTACTTTTAATTTTAGATATATCACAACAATGAAATCTTACATCCATTTTGCAAGAAGGAACTAAGCAACAAAAAATGTTTTTGCAAGAAAGAACCAACCGGTTTTTAACGATTTACTTGAACTTTAACTTTACAAAATTTATAAATCTGATATTCCTAGATAGGCTGCAGTATCCCACATAAGATTAACAAGTAATCATTCATTTATATATTATGTATGCATTTTGCGCACTCTTTTTACAAAAGTCTCATTTTCTCGAAACCACCCTGCTGTGGGTTGGTTCTTGTTTGCATAAATGGGTCCAAGTGGTTAAATATCAGAAGAAAATGTTTTTCAAAGAATGGTTAGCTTGACTTTTAGTACATTTTTAAACTATTAGTCAACATTTTGTTAATATTTACCCATTAGTAGCAAAATTTAACAATTTGTTATTTTAACTATGAATCAAAAAACTGGGCCTAAGTTAACTGTTAAAATACATTTCATCTGTCATCTATTGTCGCAGAGGAAACATTACTATTTATTTAAAACTTATTTCGTACATAAAATATAGTACACAGGGCAAATATAACTATGTAACTACTTTGTAAAAATTATTACCATATAGTATGAAAAACCATATTATAAGATTCAACTTTCATGTCTTAAAAAATCTGTAAAAAGAAAAATATCATCATCATTTCAGCTATAAGACATCCACTGATGAACATTATGCCTCCCCCATGGAAATAATTGGAAAAAATATACAAAGAAAAACATCATAAAAGCACTAAAAAGTTATAGTTTTAGACAGACAAAAACCTGTTGCAGAAACCTAATTAGAAATTCACGTTCTAAACAAAGCTAAAAGGTTTAAGTGCCCCAGATAATATCTGAAAGCGTCTGGTGGCACGCTATAATGTTCGTTTGATAAGTAAATCAAATTACAATATCACCAACTATTTAGTGCTAAAGTTGATCACGCGATTTACAGCACATCTACCTACTCATTTTTGTTTCAAAATAGCCTCTATTATCTGTACTAATATTGAAAAGCTGAAGAGTTTGTTTGTTTGTTTACTTGAACGCGCTAATCTCAGGAACTACTGGTCCGATTTGAAAAATTATTTCAGTGTTAGATAGCCCATTTATCGAGGAAGGCTATAGCTATAGGCTATGTACCATAACGCTATGAGTAATAGTTGCAGAGAAACAAGAAAATGTTGCGAAAACGGGTTTTCACACGTACAAAGTCGCGGGCACAGCTAGTAACTAAATAAGATGCTATAGGTGTTACTTTGATTTGTCATCGTCTGAACGTATAATAAGCGCATTGACATCAAAATACAGAAATGTCTATGAAAGCTTAAACTATAAGTTTTGGAGGCGAATTTATTTGTCATGAAAACGACTAGTTTTTTGTTACCCTCAGAGGCGAGCATTGACTTTGTTTCGAAGTAGTTTTAGGTCTTTGTACAAATAAAAACAAAATTTGGGTTTATTCAAGTCAGCTAGACCAATTTTTCAATTTGTCGTCCGTCTAGAAATGAAACCTAGGAACTCCTAGTCTTTTGTAAATAAAAGATTCACATCGGTTTCGTGTGGTTCTATGTAGTTACACGATATTCATTATGATTATAAAATAGTAAAAATAGATTGGTTTCCGTACATAATGTGTGAAACCTTGCGATTACATGCGAGAAAAGCCGTGGCCAGAAACTAGTGTTCGGTACTAGTATAAACGACAGTGTCGAAGGTTTTAAAGTGAAACACTGTACCTACTGTACTGTCTTTTGTAGTAGTACATAAGACAGTACCTATTGAAAATAGGTGTAATTTTGCAGCACATATGTATAGCCTTAAGTGCTGTCGACTGTACAATAAACATGACAGCTAACATAGACTTTGAAAGTCTGTTTATAGCATTAATTACAGGCTCCTATCATTTACTTCACAATTCGCATCATATTCGCTTCCAACCTCAACTGATTACAGTCATAAACGTACATTCGCGTTTTAGATCGTATTGTTCGCAACAAATTCCATTTGTTCTTTATTTATATAGCAATAAAAGCTAAATTTTCAGTGTCGTTCCGTGCTGCGAGCGCTTAAATCATCCTTTTTGTGCGATCCCCGCGGTACACAAATATCCATTATTCGTATCTATGCAATAAAATCTAAACAGAAAACGTAATAAAGATTACAATTTCAAATTTTCAACCTGTACACGTTTGAATGGACCTTTTACTTTTTTACTCAAAACGGTTCATTTCCTATGTTTCCGTCATCAAATTAATAAGATATTTTTAAGATAGATATATTGGTAGATATTTCAAAATGCATTTTGCTACAAGAACTACTTTTTATTGTGTTTGGTCTGTGTCATTTTAGTTACATTCTTTGCATGTTAAGAAAACTACTAAAATGTATTTCATAAATTAAAACACATGTAACACCAACACGTTTAAACTAAATATTCTGACAATTCCGTCGAGTTTTGTCAGTTAAAAATAAAGACTGACAATAAAAGTTGTCATACACCCCATTGTAAGAAGAACCGTAATTATTAATAACTTTATTTTTATAGGGAACTAGCTTTTGCCCGCGGCTTTTTTCGTGAAAAAATAACAAACATGTTCACATCCAGACATCTATACAAACTTCCGCATTTATAATATTAGTAGGATTATTTCAAATGCATGAGTCTCTGTTCTTGGTTATAATATTACAAAATAGGCCAATGCAACAAACGCAATACGTGTAACATTGGAAGTAAAATAAAACAATTGACGCTAAGTTACAGATAACAACTGATAATTTTGATAACGCCCACGCTTTAAATTCACACGCCAACAACAAACATATCAAAATAAGGTACTTCATTTAGTCATAAAACAAGTATTATGAATGTTCTTAGCGTCATGTTGAACTAAAAGCAGTTTTCTAGCGCCAGCTTGGCCCATTTTTAGCTTGGTCTACAGGCCAAGTCGCCGGAATGATTTTTTAAATATTTTTTCTTCCGGCAACTGGGCCCACTCTAAGATTCTATAGTAGATTTTCTTGATTTTGTGTTTAATAATTATTAATATGCACATTGAAGGTGGGAATTGCCGGAAGAAAAAAATATTTAAAAATTCAATGCCCACACCAAGCTAAAAGTGGGCCAAGTGGAAGACTCCAAAGTAGGTGCAATGTAAATAGGTTATATTGTATATGAAATAGGTTATATACCTCATTGTTCTCGAACAGCGTTCGCTCCACTCCAAGTACGAGTACTCTCGGGGCACAGCGTTATCACTGATAAGCGCACACATCGCTTGATTACAACGCTCTTATCACTTATCGGATACGATCAACAAGCAATTCCACCGGTCGATTTCACCTATTTCACTTTAGAACGCACAAAATAGTGTTCTTGTGTTCCACAGGTCACTTAAAGTACACACAAAAAAAAAAGTCGAAGAACACGCGGGAAGTCGAACAAAATGAAGACAGTTTGACACGCGTGTGAATGGTTGTATTTTTTTGTTGGAATGGAACAGGCCGCGAATGGGGGTAGGTGTTAAAAGACAAGACTTTTGGCTTACCCGCAATATAATTTTATTTATTTAGTGCGGATTGGAATTCTGTTGATTGGCCAAAAAAAGTATTCACTAGAAATTTTAGATCTAATATGGTTACGAGGGCTNAATTTTCAGTGCCGCCCTCGTATCATCAAAATTATAGACGATAATAATTGATAGTTGTAAATACCTATGTATAAAAAATAGTAGACAGTATCAAGATAATCAAATTGTCTATTATTTTCCCTAGGAATAACATCTTACTTCCGCGAAAGTTTGTATGCTATTACTATTTCACGTAAAACTACTGAACGGTTTTGGATGAGACTTTACAATATTATAGTTTTAAAAAAAAATATATCTAAATAATATATAACTCAAAGGTGACTGACTGACTGATTGACATAGTGATCTATCAACGCACAGCCCAAAGTACTAGATGGATCGGGCTGAAATTTGGCATGCAGGTTGATGTTATGCATCCGCTAAGAAAGGATTTTACGAAACTCCACCCCTAAGGGGGTAAAACGGGATCCACGCGTATGAAGTCGCGGGCGGCCGCTAGTTTATGATAAATCTAATATCAACTATCTTTTCTTTTGAAACACATCAAACACATTTCTGTTGCAAAATAGTATTTTTTAATATTACTTAAGATGATGAAATCGTTTGACATGCCAATCGTTTAACCGTGAACAAGAAAAGTAGCAATTATTTATTTTGTGTCAGCAATCGCCTGAAAGCTACATATTTTTCATATGAAACAATATCACACCATGTTAAAGTTATCATTGTTTTATCTATCGATCGGATCAACGATGGGGTGCCATGGTGTAGGGATTAGTGTGTAGTGTTTGATACAAAAATGATAAAATAACATCTGCCTAAAGCGGTGGGTGGGTACTTATAAGAAGGGTTTGCTACGAATAGTCCAAAAACAAAAGCTACTATCCGTTCGCTTTAAGTTTGCCGCTGGCGATATGACGTCACTCGAAGGGAAGCGTCTATAACTTTAACAAACTATTATTTAAAATATATTTTATTTATTATTATTGATAAAAATTGTGTATTTGCGTAAAATAAGACACATTAATTGCGTTAATCACTAACTAATTGCGTTTAATCGCGGTTGAGGGAGGGGACGCGCATTCTACCGGCAAACTTAGCGCGAACGGGTAGTACTTTTGTATTTATAATCTACTTTTTTAAGCACAAAGTGCTAAATTAATTGGTCACTATAAAATGTATTTTTAAATAAGTTTGCGTCTGATTGTTCTAAACATTCAACCCAGACAAGGACGGAAAAGCCAAATTAATGGCAAAATTAGTTTTTGACCATTTGCTATGGTAGATAATTTATGTTGTTTTGTAAAAAAAGAAATCCCTATTTTGTAAGTCTGGCGTGACTTTAATTTACTTGTGTATTTGTACTTTTTGGATAGGAAACATAAAATTATATACTTATGATGCATAAGTGTTACGGTCGATGTGATAAATGTGAAAATTATGAATAATCGCCGGTTATTATGAATAATTACCTCATGATTTGGTAAATGTGATTAATATGATTTCATTTATGTGTGTATAAAACTAAATAGGCGGCTTAGGGGTGGCCCAAGGGCCACCCCCGCCGCACCATAACCTATTTTTCACTTTAAATCAAAACATTATGTTAAGGGCATCAAGGAAAAGTAATATTATGCAAGAAACATTCCAAACTCATTATGCCAAATGATATTAATTATTATGATATCAAATCGTTCAAAAATTTTGGCTGTACAAGAGCACGTACACAAGATGTTGTTCTCTTTTATGATATTTGTTAATACTAAGGTTGAATTATTAAAATAATCAGTGTTAAATGTTATTAATTTATCACTTTTAAAGCGACTGTCGGTAATTATTCATAATAACCGGTTATTATTCATAATTTTCAATTTATCACATTAACCGTAACATAAGCACCAAGTTCTAGCCGGAATTCTATAAAAAATAAAATGCTAATAGGTATGCTTAGGCCTTTGTCAAACGATGTTTAATTATGTTATTATTACTACACACCTATGCAGTTAAAGACAGATGTGCGAGTGTGCCCCTAAACGTTTGTCAACGTTATCAGTAATAAAGTCAACAACTCGATTGTGCGCATGTTGACTCGCTGCACTCTTGAATCGAGGCGGCTGACGGCCTAGTTTGTATTATTAGAATGCATCTTAGTTATCACATCGTCTTTTTTAGCTAATAGGATTTTTACAATGATACTAACTTCAAACTATGAGTATAAACTCATACATTTTTTTAAATGTTTTTAAACAATCGTCTTTAGCGACGGTCACCTAGATAGAGTTTAGAACTAAAAGATAGCATAGGGTTCCAAAAGCCATCGGGGTTCGAATCGTTATACTTACCCAGGTATAACGATTCGAATCCCGCTGGGGACAGATATTTTTGCCACGAATATTTTATTACGAATATTTATTACAGTAGGTAATCTAGTCGTTATAATTACAAGCGCTGCTTAGCTTGGGAATACCTAGGTAATTTGGTGTTCAGTCTCTTAAGAACAATTATTGTTATAATATTATCTAGGCTGAGTTGCACCCTCTTACTTTAACTTTAACAAACGTCAAAAATCTGTCAAAATCCATACAAAATACACCGGTTATAGTTATAGTTACGGTCAAAGTTAGGTGGTGCATCTCAGCCTTAAACTCTCTCTGCCACTAACTTCCATGATGACTGTGGACGTGTCAAGTCAGAAAAAATACCATAAAAACTATCGGGAATCACAAATCGTACATGACTCCAACTTACACCAAACCATTTCGCAATAAATCAAATCTATGGCAGTTATTAGCCTACATATTATTTTAGTTGAAAAATGAAACTTATTGTAATCACATAAGATGCCCCAATGTCAAGCTTGATGTGTCGTCTGAACAACTTGCCACATACAAACGATAGATAAGCGCGCCTTTTGCAAATATTTGAGGTGACGCTACTCGTCCCAAAGTGAAGAATGTCAATGACATCACTTGCAGCGTTTATCGTGAATATGACGTAGACTGTACTTAGCATTTCAGGTTTTTTTTTATGTGACAGGAGGCAAACGAGCAGACGGATCACCTGATGGTAAATGGCGAAAAGGATTTTTTCAAACCACAATCTACAAATTAATATTGATATTTCTTGCTACTGCAACTCATTTATAGTAAACCTAGTTACTTACTTCGGAAAAATATTTGATTGACGTCGATCGATGATATGAATTCAAAAACATAACTGTCTTTGTTTGTCAATCTTTACTCCTAAAATGGATAGGTGGACTGACGATCTGGTGAAGGTCGCGGGAGGTGCCTGTATGCAAGCGGTGCAGGACCGGTCTTTGTGGAAATCCTTGGGGGAGGCCTATGTCCAGCAGTGGACGTCTTTCGAATGAAACGAACGAACGAACACCTAAAATGCACACACTTGGAACTTGCAACTGTGGAAAATTCACACTGATTCTTTTGGCCAAAAAAATATAAATAGTATCAATCTAAAAATTCAGCACGTAAATATTCAAACTACAAACTTGTACACAATTTCATATTCCGCCTGTATGCGCCATAGTATGCGCCACCCCGCTAGTCGATTTGCTGGCACAACTTTAGATTGCAATTATTAATTTTCGCTTGTAACTTAATTACTTGGCGATCTTCAGCAAAACTTCAGCACTAAATGGCGTCACTTTCTCGACAATACATAATTAGTTCCATAATTTGCTTTTATAAGATGGCGCAGTTTTTTAAACTTCGCAAATGGTTTCATAGCGCTGGAACTTTTTACGCTTCGAGTCGCAAATTTAAGTGATTAAAATGCTGAAAGTTTGACCTTTTCAATAATAATTCACACCCTACTTATTTCTTAACAATGTACCATTTACCTATGGACAGTAAGGCTGAGTTGCACCACCTAACTTTAACCGTGACCGATAACCGGTGTTTTTTTGTATGGAGTTTGACACATTTTTGACGTTAATTGTTAAGTAAGATGGTGCAACTTAGCCTTAGTGTTAAAATTACTTATTAATTTATCACGGCTAATGTCTGGAGCCTGAATAAGTGACGTGTTACTCCAAAATCNCTAAAAACTTAACCAACAACTACGTTATTTGGATAACCGACAAAGATAGCCTTATTTCATTCGCATACTACAATAACGGCTCATCAAGCTTACAACCTTGGCATCTTATGTAGTTGTGATAAGAGCTAAATTGCAACAAAAATTTAGTATGATATGCTACCTCTGCACTATCAGTACGAACATAGTGAGCGAAGACGGATTGCACAAAAATTTCAGGGATTTCCCTAATTCCAAAAAATACACTGTTTATGCAGTTGTAAATGTGCCACAAGATTTAGAATATCGCGTTTATCTACATAAAAGCGAAAGGTCACTGACTGATTGACTCACTCACTCATCACGAAATATCAAAAACTACAAGTGCTAGGAGTCTCGAAATTTGCATGGAGGTTCCTTTTAGAATCCACTAAGATGAGATTTTGCAAAATTCAACCCCCAAGAGGGTAATACGGGGGTTGGAAGTTTGTATGAAGGTCTTATATCTTTATGCGTACGAAGTCGCGAGCGGCCGCTAGTACTACTATAAACTAATGTGCTTCATTTGTTCATACAACCAGATTTCTGAGAACATTGTTTGCCAATGTTGAGTAGTTATCTATGTTTAGGGTGCGTAGTGTGAGTTTATGTCAAACGCATTCGATATTCTTCTTCTTCCTCCACACCACAGACACCTCGCGACCACATATAGTGTTCCTCCACAGACTGCGGTCATAAGCTGTGTGGACCGCACAATGCAAACTCCCGCCTTTATTCATTCGATATAGACTGCGTAAAAA